GGGGAGCAGGACCCCGCGGGGATCTTGACTCAGCACCTGGCCCCAAAGTCTACAGGGAAGGGGGGGGGTGAGGAGGAGACAACCCCCTGCTGTTGGTCAAGTGGCAGAACCAGAACCAGCCCCTCCCTACGCAGTAAGGGGGGATGAGGGCACAGACACCTGAGAGTGAATCAAGTCACAGGCCAGAGCTGTTGTCCTGAGTGTTGTGAAATTTCCTGATCTTGTAAACGTCACGGGTTGAACAAAGCGCATCACTGTGCTGACACTGGCACCTGGGCTGCCCCCGCTCAGGTTTCCGGAAAGGGTGGAGAGGGTCTTGTTGAATCCTGAAAGCCACCCGCTGGGGCTTGCCACCAGGGCTCTCCAGGGCTCCCCAGGCGCTCAGGACCTTGGAGGGAGCTGTCCCTGCCCCTGTGCTGAGAGGATGCGGGATGGGGAGCACGAACTTCTGCGTGGCCGCCCTGTGCCGGCGTCCGTCCCCGAGCGTGTGCCGCTGCTCTGGCCTCCTCTCTCAGGGGGTGAAGTGCAGTCTCCCATCCCGGGACTGACCTGTGCCCCTGCGGTGCCGGCCCCGTGCACCCCGGGTCTCTGTCTCGGGCTGCCTGGTCTCGTTCCCCACAGTCCTGGCTCTTGTGGCTTCCTGGTGGGGGTCTGTGGGAGGAGAGAGCCCATGGCACCTCCACGTGGCCTTGTCTTTAGAAATGTTTTCTTCCTTGGCAGGGTCTTCTGACGCTTTGGCTTTTATTTATTTATTTTTAACGTTTATTTATTTTTGAGAGAGAGAGAGAGGGAGACAGAGGATCCGAAGCAGGCTCCATGCTGACAGCAGTTAGCCCTCTGTGAGGCTTGAACTCAGGAACCATGAGATCATGAACAAGCAGAAGTCGGATGCTCAGTCACTTGAGCCACCAGGTGCCCCTGACACTTTGGCTTTTAAATATCTGTGTTTCTGGAGCACCTGGGTGGCTCAGTTGGTTAAGCGTGTGGCTTCAGCTCGGGTCGTGATCTCGCCATCCATGAGCTGGAGCTGTCTGTGCTGACAGCTCAGAAGCTGGAGCCTGCCTCAGATTCTGTGTCTCCGTTTCTCTCTGCCCCTCCGCCACTCGTGCTCTGTTTCCATCATTCTAAAAATACTCATTAAAAAATCTGTGTTTCTGTGTTTAGTAGTATGTGATAAATGTACACTTGTTTATTTATTTTTGAGAGAGAGAATAGGCAAGCACGGGGGAGGGGTAGAGAGGGAGAGAGACAGAGAGAGAGAATCCCAAGCAGACTCTGCACTGTCAGCTCAGAGCCTGATGCAGGGCTCAGTCTCACAGACTGTGAGATCATGACCTGAGCTGAAATCAAGAGTCAGACAGTTAACCGACTGGGCCACCCAGGTGCCTCTGACAGTGCATTTTAAAAGTCTACATTTATGGGGGCGCTTGGGTAGCTCAGTCGGT